GCAGGACACATTGTTTTGGACACGTGAGGTCTATGGAGCACCAGAAGGGCATCCAGGTCCTTTTCCAGGGGCCGCCTCAACCAGGACATCATGGACTAGGCAAGAAGGGCTGTTGGAAGTCCAGGGGCCGCCTGGGCGCAAAGGGAAAGGTAGCACCCCCCCAGCCGAACAATCAGGCGTCGAGGGGCGGTAACAAGCAGGCGGCCACCGATCCGAAAGGGAACCAGTTCTGTAACAACTGGATGCGCGGGCGCTGCCCGGGCAACTGCGGACGCACCCACAAGTGCAACCTCATCCTGGCAACGGGCCGCATCTGCCTGGGAGACCACCTCCCGCAGGACTGCCCGGGTTGACTAGGGGCGCTGACCCCGACCCCCCGGGAGGCCTCAGGTGCCGAGGGCCCTGATAAGGCCCGGGGGGGCGAGAGGGGGCGCAAACGCCCCAAGCAGGCACATGAGCCCCCTCCTGCAGGTGCCGAGGGCCCTGACACAGGGGGGGGACAGGCCAGGTGGCGGCCATCCTCGGCGGAACAAGGATGGGGACGGCAGAACCAGCGTGCACAACACCCTCGCTGGGGTCAGAACAACCACACAGCTGGCACAACGGCGGCGCCTCAGCCCCGAGCCACGGGTGCCGAGGGCCCTGAAACGGCAGGGACGGGACGGTTCCCTGCAGGTGCCAAGGGCCCTGACACGGGGGGCCGCGCCCAGCAGGCCCGATTGCCGGATAACTGGCAGCACACCGCAACGCCAAGGAACACGCCCAGGAGGCAGCCGATCCCACTTCCGGCGCCCAACATCATCAAGCAGGACCCGGTGGTTTTTTATAAGAGCTCGGTTGGGCTGAATGAAGGGGGCCAGCGCCTTTCAGCTACCCCCCTGACAAGTCCCACGGAGCCGTCACCGGGAGGGGACATCTTCCCGTGGATGGAAAACATCCCGGAGCGTTTGGTACAGCGGCTGAGATGGACACAGGGCACATCACCCAAAGTTCCATCCAGTGGGCCCATTATTGTCCTGCTCTATGCAGGCAAGGAAGACCCAACTTCCTTGGACAGCTGTCTTCATGCCAACTACCCACACCTTTCCAGCATGGTGGTGGCGGTAGACATCCTACGATCGGGACCAAAAGGGAACCACGACATGCTCCAACCCGAGCTATATGGAGCTCTCTGCACGGCAGCAAAGCAGGGCCGAGTGGTCTTCATTGGAGGAGGACCCAACTGCAGGACATGGTCCATCCTGCGCCACATACCAAAACCGGGGGCCCCCACCCCGGTGCGAGGGCGCACTCGAGAGACACTTTGGGGCCTCCCACACCTGGACCAGGCCGCCCAGACTCAGCTTGATGATGACAGTATCCTCATCTTGAGGCAGATGTACATCACCAGCCTGGCAAGGGCCTCAAGAGCGGCGGTTTCTCTGCCAGGGCCAAAGTCCTTCTTGGAGCACCCGGAGGACCCAGTGGTGAGCAGCTCGCTGCCCAAAGCCAAGGAATGCTCATCCTTCTGGATCACGGAGGAGGGGCAGCTTTGGATGGAGGCAAACTCCTTGACAGCAATCTCCTTCGACCAGTGCCGCCTGGGCCAGCTGGTCAAGAAGGCCACTACGCTAGCCACGGATCTCCCAATTCAGGATTGGGATCAAATGCGGTGCACGCATCAGTCACATGTGGGCACCAACGAGTCCTCGACTCTTAGCAGATACCCTTGGGATATGATGGCAGGCCTGGCCAAAGCCATCGCTGTGTCACTCGCAGCGCCGGGGCACATCCGGATCCCCTCACAATTCCCGGGAAACCCTAAGGAACCACCTAAGGGGCGGGGGTCGGACCCCCCGGAGGGCCCTTCCCCCCGGGGAAAACGGGGACCCAATCAGGGAGGCGGTCCCTCCTCATCACACCAGGGCCCAAAGCCCGGAGGCAAGAATGCCCCGAAGCCCCGCCAGCACGGGCACATCCACCTTGAGGCAGACACCGTAAGCCCTCGTGGAACAATGAACCCAGACTTCCCATCTCCCATGCCCCCGATGGCCGGAGATGCGGAACAACTGGGGAAGGAAGAACATGGGGACCAGGTCCTGGACCGCCCCGAATGCCTGCCCGCTTTCAGGGTCCCACGCCTCATTGACCGAGTTGCGATTGTCCAATTGGGTTTCCGCTCACGCCCCCTGAGGGATGGGGGGGGGAAACCTTCCCCGGGGAGGCTCAACCCCCCCTTTCGGAGAATTTCCCCTTTGGCTACTTTGGGCGCCCTGATCATGACCCTTACCCGGCCCTGGATTGACAAGGTCCGAATGTCCCTGGCATCAGGTGCCACCACACACCCCTTCCAGGAAGCCGACCTCGATGAGCTGCGGGCTATCCTGGGACCTAGGCACCTCCATGAACGATGCCCAGGGCAACCCTTCCTCCTGGACCTGGTTTCGCACTTGGCATCCCTTTCAGGTGACCCTGATTGGGAGTTCCCCCTGACACTGAAAGAGGGGGTCCCCTTGGGAGTCTCGGACCCTACCTTGACCTCCCCCGGAGTTTGGCCGACTAAGGAGGAGCTTAAGGGAGAAGCCTGGCTGGGGGAAGACCCCCCCCCGCCGGTGGCCCATGATAACTACCCAACGGCTGAACTCTTTGCCAGTGAAATCGAGGCAACCTTTTACGAGGAACGAGCCTTGGACATGGTGGACGGGCCCTTCACCCGGTCGGAGGCGGCAGAGAGGTGCCGCTGCAAACCGGAGGAACTTTGCCCGGGCCCCCTTGCGGGGATTGATGAGTCAGACAAGATCAGGACGATCTACGATGGCTCGAAAGGGGGAGCAAACGCACACATCCAGGCTCATACGGGGGAGAAGACCACTGCACCGATGGTTGGAGACTGCCTCCACGCCATCCACTGGCTCAGGACAGCGACGGACCATCCCCATCTACTTCGAGCCACGCTCTCGAGCACTGAGGAGAGACCTCGGGATGTTCACCAGCCGGTGCAGGGGCAGTCCCCAGGTGCCGAGGGCCCTGAGAGGGACCCCCACAGCACCAGCCTGCCCCCCAGGGCCGAGGGGCCTGATCGGGGCAGGGGGATGATGGATACCTCCGGCGGCCTGGACGTCTCTCTGCGGTCGACACCCTCAGGGAAGGGACCACTCCCAGGTGCCGAGGGCCCTGGTAGGAGGGCCCCCTTCCCCCAACCCCCCCGGGCACGGAACGCCCTGGGGGGATCAGGGTGGAACCCCTGATGTGGCAGCCGCCGACACAGGGGGAAACCTTCATCATCCTCAAGGCGGATGTCACCAAGGCCCACAGGCGTATAAAAGTGCTCCCGAAAGACTGGAAATACCAGGTGGCCTGCATCCAAAACCGGTGTGGGTCAACAGAGTGGGCACGTACGGTATGGCCTCGGCACAACTGTACTGGGGAAGAAAGGCATCCTTGGTGCTCAGACTCTTGTACTACATCTTCCCTCAGGTGGACTGGCACTTAGTCTTTGTGGACGACTACTGCTGGGTCCTCAGATGCAGCCGGGCGGACTGGGACGCCACAGCCATCCTGGCTACACTGCTGGCGCTGGGAGTCCCGCTTTCCTGGAAAAAGACGGCGCTCTCCCCGATCAATACCTGGTTGGGCTTTGTGGTGGACCCAATCACGCCCTGTGTACTGTTGGCTCCAGTCAAACACGTCATAATCCTGGCCACTCTTAAACGGCTGGCCCGGGGGGACATCTTCACCAGCAAGGAGGTGGAACAAGCCCTAGGCCGTATTCAATGGGCTGCTTCGGCAGACGAAACCTTTCCTCCAGCCCTTTTGGAGCTGGAAGAAGGCCTGCACCACTTCGGGCAGGCCACCGAAGCTGGTTCGTGCTCTGGCCATCCTTTTGGGGAGACTCTTCAACCAGAGGTTCCCACTGGCATCTCCGTTTGCTCCCACGCTCCCATGGACGGGGGCATCTGATGCGGGAGCTGGCAGACAGGCAGACCATGCATGGGTTGGTGGTTGGTGCTCGGACGTGCCCAACCCCGACAAGTCCCGTGTGAAGTGGTTCCAGCACAGAATCACACCGGAGGGCGAGCCGTGGGCCTTCACTACTGGGGACCCGCAGCGGGCGATAGCGGCCTTGGAGCTCTTCGGCCTCCTCCTTTTGGTGAGGGCCGTTCTGCTTTGTGCAGCCGGCTCGGCTTCTCACACTAGGATCCTGGTTGCTAGTGATAACCAGGGAAATGTTTTCTCCCTTCTTAACGATTCCACTCGCAGGATGCCCAATGCGGCCATCCTCATGGAAATTGTGCTAACGCTGCATGACCAGCAGGTCATGTTGGGGCCGTCGCATGTGAAGCGCGACTTTAACACGTGGGCGGATGAACTTACTCATCCGGACCCGCAATTTCCGACTGAGAACCGGGTCTTCCCCTCAGTCGAAAGCGAATTGATCACACTGATCTTCGCTACTTTCCTTCCTCACCCATGATGCCGGGAGGGCATCCGGTGAGGTGGGAGGATTCCTCCCTCGCTGTGGGAGGGGCATCAATCCTACTCCCATCAGCTGCTGAGGGGAGCTGCCCAGTGGAGCTGGGCAATCCTCCCATTTTGGCACTAACCCTTATGAGGCAAAAAGGAGGCACCGTTTTGCGAATAAGGCCTCAGTAGCACCAGAGTGGTGCTTTGAAGAGTCTGGAAGGTTCCTCTGAGGTTCCTCTGGAAAGTTCCTCTGCGTCCTCTGGGGAGGTTCCTCAGGGAGGTTCCTCCAGAGGAACCTCCCAGAGGAACCTCCCAGAGGAACCTCCCAGAGGAACCTCCCAGAGGAACCTTCCAGAGGAACCTCCCAGAGGAACCTCCCAGAGAAACCTTCCAGGGGAACCTCCCAGAGGAACCTCCCAGAGAGGAACCTTCCAGAGGAACCTCCCGGGTCAAAATGAAACCACCAGGGGACCGCAGGTTTTAGTCCTTGTTTCCAGTTACTGGGGTTCCATTTTGGGGTTCCCATTTTTGACCCTCATCCATTTGGCACGCTGCAGGCGCCCCGGTACCGCCGGGAGTTGGGCAGCGCGCTCTTCATCCAAGGCGCGACCGAGCGAACACGAGCCGGCGGGGGAGGTCTGGGGCCTGGGCTCGTCTTGGGGGCCTTTTTTGGGTGTTGTGTGTGTGGGTGTCTCTAAAGGAAACAGAGGGGTCCACTATCCTTTGGGTCTGTGGGGCCGCGAAAATGGATTTCGGTGTTCCTTTTTGTTTCCCTTTCAATCCAACCTGAGAAGAGAAGAAGGAGAGAGAGAGAGAGAGAGAGAGAGAGAGAGAGAGCGTACCGGGCCTCCAAAAACACATGCATGCCAAGAATGTGACATCCCAACCAAGCTTATCCTGAAATGGCCCCCTTCCAAACGCTCTCAATGGGCATTTCTCGCTCAAGATTTGGGTTCCCAAGTTGGTTCACATTTGGGTTCCCCTGGGCCCAAATGAATCTTTGAGGTGTTGGGGAGAAACCAATCTGGACGGGAGGACAGCATGACACTCGAGCGCAAGTGTCAAGCAAAAAGAATGGCTTCTGCTTCTGCTTGCTCTTCTTTTTCTTCTGCTTCTTCGTTTTCGTTTTGTTTCTCTTCTTCTGCGTCAGGCAGGTGTCGCTCCTCCGTTTCTTAGTTATGCTTGTTTAATGTCAAGTGGTATGCGTGGAATGCGGCAATCACCCACACCTCGGGGTGTTCAAATGGAAGGACCCCGAAGCTCAACGCTGATCGGTTTCCTCGCAGGTCAAAGGACACCTTGCCGGCAAATGACGGGAGAGAACCAGTTGCAGCAAAACGACCACCTGCTTATCCACGGCTGTAGTATTGAGCTATCAACAAGGACATACTGATAAACGACATTGAGTACTCAATGGACTATGTCATCATTGACGATCATTGAACTGCTGCAAATGAGTCTATCTCACAATGAGGGGCCCTTTTCGGCAGGGTTTCCAAGGGAACACGGGTATGCCGTTTGCTGGAGTGCCCCCCTTCGGGCCACAAACGTGTTCGGGGGTGTGCGTCTTAAGTCACGTCCAAGACATGGCACCCGAAGGAGGTGGCAGGTCCAGCCTGAAGAGACTCCATGGTCGGGAGTCGGGGTACCTTTGTTGCTATGACTTGGTGATGCAAATGTCAACCCCTTGGAACTTCTTGCTGGCGGCGATAGGTAGGGAATGACCGTTCTGGGAGTTGGGAATGAACCGGAAGGGGGTTTTTATCTTGAAGGAAACCAGTTGGATGGTTTATGGGGGTCATTCCGTTTCTCATTCCCTGCCTATTGCACCAGCAAGTCAACCTAACCTTTACCCCACCCCCTTCAACTTTCTGAACCCCAACCTCAAGCCAACTCAAGTCAACCTAACCTTCACCCCAACTTCCTTAACCCAGACCTCAACCGAACTAACCTCAACCTGACCTGGGGGATGTTCAAGAGTCCCCCCCCCCCCAACCGGACGAATCGAGGCCGGGAAGCGGAGGCGGAGGCGGAGTGGCTGGGCTCCTTGGAGGAGCTGCGCAAGGCCTGGGCCCCGCGCAACGGCGCCTCCAGCGAAACGGTGCTGCGGTTCTTAGGCCCTGGAGGGACCTAGTTGTAAAGTTGGTACACTGGGGGTCTGTTTTGTTTTTGTTGCTTCCAACGTGGAGTTGGTACACAACTGGGGGCCTGTTTTGTTTTTTTTGGCTTCCAACGGCTGACAGCTACAGGGTCGATAGGCTCAGATGGGCGCTTTGGGGCAGATTTCTGGGAGATTTGGGAAGGGGTTCCAGGGGCAGTCGGCCATGCCGGTACCATTTTTTGTTTTGGTTGCATTTGGGTGTGGCACGTTTTTAAAGGTTCCCGGCATGGAGAGCCACTGGTTTTTTTGGTGGGGGGGACCATGTTCACACCGGATTCTTGACAGCACCCTTTGGTGGATAGGGGTTGGCTGGCGGGAGCTGACCACTGTTGCAGCTGGTCAAGAACCGCAGGCAAGCATTTTTGACCTTGGCCACTGACTGCCCCATCTCTCGGTGGGGTCGCTATGTTGCCCTTCCAAGCCAGAACAGCATAGGCACACCCACACACCCACCCAACATACACACACACACACATACACACACACATACACATATCACCTTTTGGTTTTCGATTCTATGAAAGGTATCAAGGTGACGTTGTTCCTCGGCACCCAGGTCATCTACGGTCCATGTCTTAGGTTCGCCCGTCCAGCAAAAAGAATCGGGATGTGATCGGGGTTAGGCGGGGCTGTCGCTGGTGCACTTCAACTCCAACTTCGAGTTTTCAGAGACGCGGTACCAGGCGCGGGGGGAGGTTTGCGCGAGTCGAGTCGGCCGCGGAAAAGAGGGCTCGGAGGGAGGCTGGGGTGCTGGGTTGGGCGGTTTGCGCGGTTGGTTTGCGGTGTGTGTTTCCTGAAGGGGGGGGGCGAGGGGGGGCGGGTATGGGCGATTCCGATTTTGTTTGAGCTTGCAAGTTTCGGGGGGCAAGGTAGGGTCACGGCAAATGGCCCGACTTTAGTCGACTTTCTCGCAGAACAAGTCAAGATCCAAGCAAGAACCAAATGGCCGCTGTTGGATCTCTTTGGCCAAAAGTTTGGCAATGGCCATAAGTTCGCTTGCGAGCACTCATTGGTTGGTGGCGGTAGGGGAAGCCTGGCACAACCTGCCTGATGTACAGAAAGTGGCCCGGCAAAGCGAGGCCTTGAGCAAAGGCTGGCGTGGGCTAGGTGTGGCTTCGGGTGCCATCCTGGAAAGCTGGGGGGCGGATGCTAGTGGCTGGCAGATTGCTGCAGCTTTGTATCATAGTTGCCAATAGATTCAATTGACAACGAGAAGCGCTCAACCAATAGAGATTGCCTTTACATGTTCTACAGCACTTTGTTTCAACTATGACTATGACCTACTAACCCACTTTGATTTGACCAACTTCCCTTTGTGTTTGACTATGTCCCAGGCTGTCCCTTGCACACTGAGAAGTTTTGGCCATGGTATTTAAGAGCCGACCCTCAAGCATCAATCAACATAAGGCCCTCAAATGTGCAGCACCCCGAATCCTTGGCCGCGGCACGTGGGTCCTTCGCACAGGAGGCACGCGCAGCTGAGGACGCGGCCTTTCGCCATCACGTGGGGCAGGCGAAAGGGCAGAAGAGGAAGCTGGGGTGAAAGTGAACAAGTTGGCCGGTTTTGCTGCTCAGAGGGGGATCCGGACTTGGGGAACGTCCTCGGAATCCTTAACATGTTGATTCTCTTTCATTAGATCTTCTTCTTCTTGCAACCAGGAGCTTGAATTCCGGGAAGCCAAAATGAATAGCTCCCCAATAAGCGATTTTGTGCCATGGGGATTCGGGGATCCTTCACTTTCGCACAACCCCGATTCTCTGCAAGGGTTGTTGATCCGGGCTCCACATTTCCCGCTCAACTTGCTTGTTGCCGACCTCCCAGAGATGCAACGGCCAGCACTCACCCAGCAGTAACAACTGCTTTTTCCCATGTCCAACATCCCAAGTTCTGTCCAAACAGCAGTGGCTAGGGGGCGCTGGGGTGTGAGGTTTTCATGTCAATTGGCCTCGTGAATGATGCCTCCCGCATCCGAAGACCAGATCTCCTTAACATGCTGAACTCCCAGGTCGGATCTCGGTTTGGGTGGAGTTGTCTTCTTTCTTTCATTTTTTTTGTGTGTGTGTGTGTGTGTGGTGTGTGTGTGTGTGTGTGTGTGTGTGTGTGTGTGTGTGTGTGTGTGTGTGTGTGTGTGTGTGTGTGTGTGTGTGCGTGTGCGTGTGTGTGTGTGTGTGTGTGTGGGGGGGGGAAGGGGGGGTTCCTGTTGGGTACAACCCCAGCAAAAAAAGCCGAGCTTTCTTGCTGACGCCCGAATTTTGAGAGGAAGGAACCCGGAAAGGGAACCAACCATCCCATGACACCCCGCCCAAGAAGAAGGCCAACAGGAAGCCGCCCATCGTTCCAACTTTTGAGACATGTGCGACGCCAGGGCCCTTTGCTGGAGATGCTGCGCTGGGAGCTCGGGCCGTGCTCAAAAAAGGCTTCCCCTGGCTTGCATGAAGTCGGGGAGCTGTCTTTTTTTGCCGGTAGGTCTCCGTTTGATGGGTTTTAGGAGTGTGTAAGTTTGGAAACCATACGAACGAGGAGGCCGCTTTTTCGTGTTTTTTCTTCTTCTGCCAACAAAGGCCAAAAAACCCTAAAAACTAGTTCAGATGGGTTTTGATTCCAGCATCTCTGTTTCCAGCTCAGGCAGGTGGTTGGGGTTTGGGAACTGCCCGAAAAAACAAACCGAGCTCCAAGGACCAACTGATCTCCAGGGAAGGGAATTGGCTCGTCGAAACCAAAGGTATGGATTTGAACGAACCCAGGAGACCAAAACGACCCAAAGGAGTCGCTGATTGGTCTTGGTTTTTTGGTTTTGAGGATGTCTTTGGAGGGCAAGCAAAGAAACACCCCACCCATTTTGACCCATTCCTGCACCGGGCATCCCAAATGAGTATCAGAACTTGGCACCGTGCAACACGCCCTTTGAGCCCTTTTTCGTTTTGACACAAGCGGTATGCATTTGTGTATGAACCCATGGCCATTTTGGACCCCTTTGGATACCCGCTTCCCATAATGTAGCCAGAATGGACGATTGGTTACATTATTTTTGTATGTGGGTTCAGGATTGTGGGTTTGCGTTTTGTTGATGGAACCGTTTTTTAGGTTTGTTTGAAAGCTGGGTCCCCCAGTAGTGCTTTTACCCCGTTTTGGGGGAGGGTTCCCCTACTAAAATAGACTACAGAAAAAGGGTACCCTTCTTCTAACCTTTTCTTGGGAGGACTTAAAGTAGTTAAAAGGGAATCTTATCACTATGGGTTTAACGTTATGTTTTGATATACGGACTTATTAGCTCTTGGTATTTTGAAACGAGGCGCGGTGCGGCGCCGGGAGAACACCAGCGAGCCTTGGCTTTAAAGGCTGGGAAGCCCTTTGGCCGAAACCCGATTTCTAGGCCGGCCAGCAATTGGGGCCCTTTTGCCGTTTCCTTTTTTTGGGGGAGGGTTCCCCTACGAAAATAGACTACAGAAAAAAGTTGGTAGCCTTATTCTAACCTCTCTACTGGAGGACTTAGAGATGGAATCAGTTGGTTGCCATGTGATTCGTGGGTTTGCAACCAAAGCAATTGGAAACAACCCCTGATTTCAACCCCCAGTCAACATTTTCTGACCTTTCCAGTAATTCCCTTGGTATCCAGGCAGGGGAAGTGAGTTTGGGTGACCCGTACGGGTACATGGGCTCCTCACATGCTTTGGGTGATTGCCCTGTGCAAGCAACCTGTTTCGCCGAAAGGGTCTGATTGCTTCTTACTTGCCTCTGACTTCCTGTTTGGACACGCTTTTTCGGAAGAAAAGTGGCAGAAAGGGACAAAACGGTCTTGGCGTAAGAAGCAACAGATAGTTGTTTCTGAGTGTACTTTGGTAACTGATTTGTCAAAAACAACTGTTCAACATCATCAGATAAGTTACAATTTTGTGCGCTGAACGGGACCTTTCGGCGGCCTTTTCCGGGCCAAACGCCAGCACCAATCCATGCGCCGAAACCCTCACAAGGACTGGCTTCTCACCTGGGCCCGCGAGAGCGCGGGGCGCTTCCGCGGCGCACGCCTGGTGAGCCGGGGCCAAAGACTGCTTGGAAAGAGGGCTCCGTGTGTGTTTGTTTCATTGTTTGTTTCTGTGTTTCTTTGTTTCTTTGCTCGGTTTCTTTATTTGTTTGTTTGCTTGTTTGTTTGTTTGATTCCTTGATTCCTTGATTCCTTGTTTCCTTGTTTCCTTGTTTCCTTGTTCCTTGTTTGTTTGTTTGTTTGTTTGTTTGTTTGTTTGTTTGTTTCCTTGTTTGTTTGTTTATTTGTTCTTTGTTTCCTTCTTTCCTTGTTTGTTTGATTGTTGGTTTGTTTGTTTGTGTGTTTCTTTGTTTGTTTGTTTGTTTGTTTGTTTGTTACTTTGTGTCTTTCTTTGTTTGTTTGTTTGTTTCCTTGATTCCTTGTTTGCTTGTTTGTTTGTCTGTTTGTTTGTTTGTTTGTTTGTTTGTGTGCTTGCTTGTTTGTCTGTTTGTTTGTTTGTTTGTTTGTTTGTTTGCTTCCTTGCTCGCTTGCTCGCTTGCTTGCTTGCTTGCTTGCTTGCTTGCTTGCTTGCTTGCTTGCTTGCTTGCTTGCTTGCTTGTTTCTGTGTTTGTGTGTTTGTTTGCTTCTTTGTGTCTTTGTTTCTTTGTTTGTTTGTATGTTTCCTTGTTTGTTTGTTTGTTTGTTTGTTTGTTTGGTTGTTTCTTTGTCTGTTTGCTTGTTTCTTTGTTTATTTCTTTATTTGTTTGTTTGTTTGTTTGTTTGTTTGTTTGTTTGTTTGTTTGTTTCCTTGTTTCCTCGTTTTTTTGTTGGTTTGTTTTGTTTGTTTCTTTCTTTCTTTGTTTGATTGTTTCTTTGTTTGTGTGTGTGTGTGTTTCCAAACCTATTTTGTGGGGTTGGTCTGTGTGTGTGTGTGCGTGTCAGTCTACAGGTTGTGTTTTGTTTCTTTGGTGGCCAGCTTAGGGTTGGTTGAAAGGCAAGCCAAAAGGAATACCACCATTTTGGGGGGTCTGCCCCTACTTTGATAATTTAAGAGCCCCTGCCAAATTGCAAGTGGGAATTCATACTTGTCCAAACGGACACCTATGACCCCTTCCCTTTGAAGCAATCCAGTTGTTTCTCCCTAACTCGGAAAGGCAAGAATGGCCCTTCCGTTTGATGAAGGCGTTTGGTGTGTTCCTGCTCCTAGCAGTACATGGTCATGACTCATGATCAGGGTTGTGGGATCAAGGGGTTTCTCCCCACTTCTGTGATATAAGGGAATCCCCTTTATATGAACACACTAGTTTTTTGGGAATTTCCGTTGTATCACAGAAGTGGGCATTCCCCACAGCCCTGCTCATGATTGGGTAGCTGGTTACCTGGTTGGTCTCCTCGTATTGACAAATTCTGAAACCCCAGAGTTGGGTCAAGGTGAAGACCCACTGCTTTTGCATGGCGACAAATCGAAGCTTCCCCAGAACCACCACGTCTTGGGCATTGTGAAGACTTTTGCCGAGCAATCGGCTTCGTGAGTCTCGTGTGTGGTCGGTGTTCCTGGGTTGCCCACTGAGGCAAAGCTGCAGTGGACTTCGGATCGGCAGAAGGTTTCGTCTGACTTTGGTTAGATGGAGGCCATCTGGGTGTGGGTCAAAATTGAACCGCCAGGATATGGGCCGCAGGTTGTAGTCCATGTTTCCATTTAGCAGGGTTCCACCTTGGGTACGTTTTTTGGACCCGGACCATTTCTTTGTGGCAAACTGCAGCCATGAAGCACAGGCTTGGCTCCAGGCCTGGCGAAGACCCGACCGGACTTGTGGTGCAACCAGCAGCAACCCAAACCCAAGCGAAGCCAACCAAACCTGAACCCAAACCCAAACCCGACGCAACTCCCTCGCAACCCCAAACCCCAAGCCCCAAACCCAACCGCATTCCAACCCCAAACCCAAACTCCAAACCCAAACCCCAACCCCAACCCCCAAACCCCAAACCCAAACCCGACGCAACTCCAACCCGAACCCCAACCCCTCCAACCCGAGCGTCTCACCCGCCGACCCGAGGCTATGGCGTCACCTACTTCCAGGCCTGGCGCGAGGCGAGCTCCGTGCCGATCGCCGCCGCGAAGCTTCGTCGCCGAACCCGCCTCACACGTCGTGTGGGTGTGGAACATTTCTTCTGAAACCAGGGGCCTGGGGTCTCCAACCAAAAGCGCTATCCCCAGAACAAGCCGCACCAAACACAGGTTGCTCGAAAGGTGGTCTGGCAGAAACGTTTTTGGCTGCATGGATCGCACATGAGCAGGAATTGGTTCTCGTTTTTTGTTTTTTGTAAAACCCAACGGAGGCGTCCGTGAAATATTTCTGTGTGGATGGTGTTTGAGGCCTTGTTGCAGGGACCCCCCCCTTAAGGTGATAAACTAGTCATGGGGATGGCGCAAACATCGTCTCAGAGAAAGGCTTAGACAACCAAGGGGACCACTCTTCAATACAGGGAACTGGCTTCCACTGGGAGTATACATTCCCTGGTTGGGGGGGGGGGGGTTGAACGTGAGTTTTTTGTGATGGTTGAAGGAGATGTGTTTTAGGACCCTGGCATCATTTGCTGCCTTTTTGATGGATCCAAAAGGTTTCTTTGCCCAAAGAACTCGTCCAGATGCCTCCAGTGAGCTTACCATGTGGAGAGCTTGGAGGGTATGACTTCCACCCAGATAAGAGGCCCTTCTTTGATTTTGACGCATGGCCATATTCCCCCCTGAAACGAGGCTTTCGGGTCCACCGGAATGGCCTTGCTTGTGAGGCTGGTTCTATCCAGGCGCCAAAGAAGGGACACGATCCTCACTTCAGAGGATCAAACCTGGACACTGAGATGGGGAAAGTTGCGGACGGGGATCACAAATTCAAAGGTGCCCTCCCTCGCTACCGCAAAAAGGGTGCGAGCTTCCTTCTGATATCGCCTGAGAGAAGGTACCATGAATTGCTTTTTTGTTTTTTTGGTAAATACCTTCCCATGGAAGCTCCCCCAATTAAACCCTCTGCAAATGGGTCACCAAGTCTTCCAAAGTCTTGTCAGCTTTCATGGAATCGCCTGGAGGGTACATCAACCACATCCACTCGACAGGTCTGTGAGCAGGCACCAGTCCAGGCGCTGACAAGCCGGGCTCGCCCCATGACTTGGGATTCTGCAGACATTTGCCTGGGACAATGCTTATTGTGCACGATCTACTTGCGTTTGTTTTTGCACATGAACAATGATATATTGTATCGGAGTCTTTTTGTCTTGGTTGTTCTCTTTCTTTCTCTCTCTCCATATGTATATAAACATGTTCATAGCTGATTGTTATCGCGGTTCAGCTCACAGGCTATGATTTTCATGGTTGGAATGCCGGCAAACATGGTTGGTGGTAGTATCCCCATGAACATGATGCTCAGTGAAGCTTCCCTCTGCTTAGATGGTTGACGATGTATGTTTTTATACATCGATGAATCGTATGGTCAGATCAACCGCCTGCATACAGTAATACAGTTGGTTGACGATAGCTATAGTGGTTCAGCTAATCTAACAATCCCGAGTTGTGTAAGGCACACGTCGGAGTTAACAAGGATGGCCACAAAAGCAGAGGACCCTTATGGATTAATCCCCGATTGCGAAGTGCACCAATTTTCGTTCGAGGGCCGGTGACGTGAACCGGAGCCCTTTTTGAAAAGGACAGCTCTAAAAGGGAACCAACGTGACACAATTTTCCCCGGCCGAAAGTTGTGGTGTCTCGCAGATAGGCTCTGGGGTGGTGGGCAGCTTTCAGGGGGGCATTTTTTTTTGCCGGGGGTTCGAGTTACGGGTGTGTCTAAGGAACCCGCTTGCAAAGCCAGATACCTAAGCGGTTTCAAGTACTGTGTCCAAATTTGTAGCCACAGAAAGGCCCAAATATCGTATTTAGTTTGTGTTTTTGCTATTTGAAGGGAGGTTCCAAATTTGTTTTCCTTTATTAGGCTATTTGAAGGGAGGTTCCCAACTCATTTATTCTGTTAGGAGAAGAGCTAGATCCGAAGAGGCGCGCCAAAGGGCGCTGTATGCGAAGGGAAAGCCAAAGGGCGCTGGCCTTTGCTTGAGAACCGACTTCCGACTTTCCTTGGACTTCCGACCAGAAGTTTGGTCTTCCCTGGACATTGGAACGGTTTTGCCATGTGTCTCAGCCCAAGTTGGTGCGGATTGGCGTGATTTGACCATGTCTGATTTGACCCCAGAACTGATAAAGGCGAGAAGCATTTAGGAGTTCTTCGGGTGTGTGTTTTTTCTGTGTCCCGTTAATTTGTTGTTTGTGCTTCTCTCTTTTTTGTTTCAATAGCGCTAGCAATGGATTCCATTCTCACCCTTTCAACGATACACCTACAAGTGCCTTTGGCATTTGGCAGGGGATCGTTTGGGACCCGCATGTCGTACAGTTTTGGGGCAACTGGAAGGCGGGGTTGGGCCACGCATGTGTAAGCCACAATTGTTTCAACAACTGTTCAATTTGCTACTTTGCTACAGGCACACACATCTTTCTTCGCCAGGGGCGCCGTACCAGAACTCGGACTGTGGCCGGCCCCTTTCAAGGCTCAGCGGTATCCCTAGTTGAGTCAGAAACCGAAAAAAACAACCAGAACTGGCTATGAACTTTAACCAGGGATCCCTCTTCTTCAGTGGTTGGTGGACATACATCCCAACCTATCCACCAAAGGGTCCCCACTCAATACTCAGACCCAGTTTTAAGCTCCTCTGGAGCCCAGCTTCAAATCCTTGGCTGCCGACTCCAATGAGAGCTTGGGATCCCCCCGCTTCCACAGGTCGCCCACTTTTTGGGCAGGTTCAAGCCCTTTTAGCACATCCCTTTCACTTCTTCTACCGAACGGCTCATGTTTTTCCTCCCACTTTTCACCAGCTCTCAAAAGGGTTTTTAGTGGGATCTTCAATCCCATTTCAGGTTCATCCACTAGGGTTCTTCCAGGAACCGGGTGCCAGGCTTCCTTCTCCGAGTATACAGCTGCTACCACTACTTCTACTTCTGCTGCAACTGTACTATTGCACTGCTCTACTATTCTTATGGTTTTCTCTTCCACTATACCACAATCATCACGACTCACACATGCATCGGGGATCTTGTAAAAGAAAGAAAGAAACAAACAACAACATAAATTAATAAGGACACCGTCACATGCAATGGGTTCTTACAAGACAGGCATCAAAATAAGAAGAAACAAACCACAGAACAAAACACAAAAGCCCCCCCCAAAAAAACAGAGCAAACCGAAACAAAGCACAAAAGCAAACAAAAACAGAACACACCGATGCCGGTCTCATCCCCCCTCCCCCCTCCCCCCTCCCCCTCCCCCCTTTCCGTCCGCGTCTCACCGCGGCGGCTTCACCGGCGCCATGAAGCCGAAGCCGACGCCGAAGCCCACGCGCCGCGAGCGGCTGGTGGCGTTCCTGCACTCCGCCCCGGCGGGGACCGGGGACCGAGTCGGGTCGTGTCGGGTCCATTTCTTTGTTTCTGCCCAACTTTTTGGTATCGGGTCCTTCGTGTCGGGTCCTCTTGGTACCCACATTTTGGTGGTACTTCCACAGTTTCTGCCCAACTTTTGTGGATGGTTTGAGAGGGAAGCTGAAGAGGAACACAACGGTTTTGTCCGATCTTTTTGGGTCCCTGCCCAAAGCGAATCGACCTTGTCACTTTGGTACCCACATTTTGGTGGTACTCCCCACAGTTTTGCCCAACCCCCGGGGCTCCCCCAAAGAGCGCAAGGTTTGGGGCTCGCCTTTTTCTGGTGCTAACCCCCATTTTTTGGATGGTTTCAAAGGGAACCCCAACAGGAACACAACAGCATGGTGAGAGAACAGATGGGTCTGTCGATTTTTTGGTGGTAGCCCATTGTTGATGGTGTTAAAGGGACACCCAAGAGGAAAAAACTACTGACTTAGTTCAAGCACTTTCTGAGAAGACCACTTCTGTGGCAAGCAAAATTCACTTGCCCAAAGTGAATCGAGCTTTTCACCTTTTGGTTTCCCTGCTTTGGCCCATTTTTTGTGAAGGTCCCAAAAGGTTAACCTTTTATGTCCAGGTCGTTTGGGCAAGTGAGTGGTGGTATCCAACTGTTTGATGTTTTTAAAGGGAAAACAAACAGGAAAACCGCTGCGCCATTTTGGGGGGTTACCTAGAAAAGACACACCCGGATATACGTCCTACCCAGTGCGGACAAGTTGCCACCAGGTAACCCTTCGGTTTCTTTCTTGCCTCTAGGTTTTGTCATAGTTTCCACTTCTTCCACTTGCCATCAGGTATAAATATATATATATATGTAAATATACAACCCTTCGTTTTGTTTTTTCCTCCGCCCTTTGGTTCACGCCATGGGTTTCCCCTTCGGTGTTTTGCCTCCTCCCTTGCATTTCTTCCCATGGATTTCCCCTCACGACACGACACGATACGAAACGAAACGACGGGCGAGCGAGCGGCGCCAGGTGCACGGCTTCTTCACGGCGCTGCTGCTGCTGGACCTGCTGCTGGTGGTGGTGTCCCTAGAGCTGCAGATCCAGCGCCTGCGCGGCAAAAGGAGGTCCAGGCGTCGCTGGGCGGGGCACGGGGCGCCCTAAAAAGTATGCAGCATAGGTTCGATGAACGGATTTTTTGTTAGAATTTGTATGAAACGTATGGGTAGTAAGTAAGGACCTGTGATTGTACATGTTTCAGAAAATTGAGAATTCGACTGATTACGATTTCAAAGTTGGTGATATTACAGGTTGTAATGAATATGGTAAATGGGTGTGGAAGACGTTTCTTGAATCCAGGGGCTCCCAAGCAAAAGTCGCATTACTCAACCAACAAACTTGGTTTTACTTAAACCCCGGAGGTACAATCTAAGCGTCCACTTAGTGGATAGATGAAAGGGGTACCCTCAAAAGATGCGGTCAAACGAAAGTTGCGGGAAAGGTGGTTTGCCGGGCTTATTGTTTTTTTGGTACGGATCGCACAGCAGCAATGGGTGGACAGTGATCTATTTGACCACGAAGCAACGGATCGCAAACGAGCAAACAGTAGGTTTTGACAACATGGCAACCTGAATGGTTACCCATAAAATTTAACGGTGGTTTCCTTTGAACACCAGCCTCAAGATAGTGGTCTCAAAAAATGGCCCCGTTTTTCTTGGGGGTACCCTTTGCAGGGTTGGCTTGAAGGAGAGCTACAAGAAAAGCCACGAGTTGTTTATGTTTGGGGGGGGGGCGCCCTATTTTGACAAGCATCTCTACGAAACGGCGTTGTTTTCCATTTCCGGTGCTTCCCCTCCTACCCGAAACAGGTAACCTCAAAGCAGGACACCCAGAAGCCCACGATGTGGACGTGTCCCTCTAGATTTTCAAATACCAAATCAGGGGGTCCCAGCGAACCCCCACATAATTTTTGGAGGTCGAAGCGTGTTGCTCCATGAATTGACGAGTCTCACCTGCGCAAGCAGAGAGGTTCCGATTCTGCATTCAAGATCAAGATAGGAGAATCTGAGAATTTGTTACTCGTCTTAAAGCCAACTCAGCACATGGCTGTTGAATCGATCCCATTGCCTCGGAGGATTTACACTGCCCTTTGACTACTACTGACTTTGACTACTAGCCACAAGGAAAAGGGAAATACAATGGCTGCAAGATATGAATACCACATCTCTGTTCGGATTCGTTCGATTGGGGAAACCCTCTTAGATGCTCCAGATGTCTTACATCTTAGGCCTGGAAGAAACACTTTGTGTTTCAGACGCCCATTGTCTCATTTGAAGTTCAGCATCCACTTGGCATGAAGTGACGACAATGATCACTGAGGTCCATTTGCGGAAGTTGAGGTTTTCAGAACCCTGACACCCTCCCCTGAAAACTTTTCTATGGAAGGGGAGCAAGCGCCCAGCACCGCGTGTCGAGGATTGGGCTGCGGGAAAAGCTGGCGATCTCAAGGTGCCTAACGGCCTATGAGGAGCGCTCAGAGGGGCTGCACTTGAAGGGCCTAAATGTGTGTGTGTGTGTGTGTGTGTGTGTGTGTGTGTGTGTGTGTGTGTGTGCATGTTTGTGTTTTTCATGGCTGTCAACAAGGGCTTCCAAGATGGCCAAAGTTTTTGTTAAAGCCA